GATATAATTCTGCAGCTTTCGATTATTTGAATTATACATATAATACAATATATTATATCAGCATGTTGCTCTATCTCGCAAGAGCAATTTTTCCAATAAATAAAGATACAAGCAAGTATACCTGATACAGTTCAAAACAACATTATCTGGTTTAATTATGTATAATCGATTTAGTATCAATCATATTTTTAGTTAATCAAAAGTTTGTGCTCGATATGTATATTCATTTTGTTTCTCTGCATGATTTTATACATTTTTCTTTTTTTGCGCAAGTTTTTTTAGAAAAAATTATAAACGAGCACAAATTTGTAGGTCGATCAAAGCAACGATGTTACCAATTCAATATGTCAGTATAGAGGAAGAGTGCAAACGAAATCCGGAACTCAAAATGTCAGATTTGCAAATGTTGAAGGATTGGATGGAAAAGCAACCTCATCTGCCACGAATAGAGATGTTATATCTTGTTTTGTTTCTACATAGCAATTATTATCGTATAGAGGCGACTAAGAAGACGATAGACAATTTTTTCACCATAAGAACGCTTTTGCCAGAAGTGTTCTCTAATAGAGATCCAATCGCATGGAAGGAATTGCGAAAAGCCTTTTCTACCATGTAAGTTATCCTATAAAATTATTAAGATCAACAAATATCGTTAAAAATCATATCAGGATATAGAAAATCATATCAGAAAACATTCTTTCGATAATAGAGCAGCTGTGCCATTAGAGCAAAAAACCAAAGAAGGATACATTATGACACTTGCCAAATTTCTGGATCCAAATCCAAATAAATTCAACTATTTCGAGTGCAATAAATATCTACTTATGACTTGTGAGATACAAAATGTGGTACAAGGTACCAGCGAAGGATTGGTTGTTATTCTTGATGCAAGTGGCTTGTCTTTTGGTCATATCGCTAATATAAATTTAATAGGATTGAAAAAAGGTTTAGTCTATATACAAGAAGCTATTCCGGTTCGTTTGAAGGCCTTACACATACTCAACACCATGTCTATGGTAGATACGCTAATAAATTTAATAAAACCTTTTATGAAGAAGGAATTGATGAATCTTGTAAGTCAACGACGTGTTATACACATGTTAAAGTCTTTCGTCTTTTTTAAGAAAAGAAAAATATGTATGAGATATGAAGACTCATTTATTATTTTTGTAGCTGCATTTTCATTCGAGCATGGAAACTGTAAAGAAATTTCTACCTATCGAAGCTTTGCCAAATGAGTACGGTGGGAAAGCGGGACCTATCGAAGAAATAGCTGCTAAGCACATCAAATTGCTGGAAGAATTTCGCGATTGGTTTCAATATGATGAAGTTTACTCACGAGTGAACGAATCTTTGCGAGTTGGCAAATGCGAAAGTGCAGAAAACTTATTCGGTGTAGAGGGTAGCTTTAAAAAGTTGGAGCTAGATTAATCAGTAAAATTTTTAATAATCTTCTAAACGTTCTCTCTCTCTCTCTCTCTCTCTTCAAGTACTACAAAATATTATATTTCTATCATTCAATAATTTTTTACTGTTTATAAATTATGTCATATCAACATTTATAAAAATAAACACAAAAGGGGATTTGTATAACATAATTCAATTATGAAATTATCTTAATAATCGTATTACTTGGCAATACACAATTTGTACACATAAATCTGATAATAATTGTTATGTAACTAAGTTAGATGTTATAATGGCTTGTTATACGTATGTACACATACATGTTCATTGTTTATTCCTTTATGTTCGCTCCTTAATTAAGCGTTCTTTTACAGTGTTTGCCACAAAGAAGCGCTACTGAAACCTTGACGCGCATACACGATAATATCGCATAATGCTCATAGAAGTTACACACGTAAACATCGTAACACGTAATTTTCTCCTACTGTTTAGAATTAATTTATAATACAAATTAAACGTCGTGGTAGCGTCTGCTAGAAAACCGGTTTCCAGTGCTTGCCAAGCCTTTGAACTGTTCAGTACGTCGTTGTCATTACTAACTTTGAAAACTCGGAAGCAAAAAAATATTGTGAAAAAAAGGAAGTGTTTCTTAATAAGGTATTAAATTCGTTAATACTTATAAATTATATTCAATTTCGGCATGTTAATCTACATAAATCATATGTATAGATATTAAACGTCACATTCATATTGGAAATAAACGAGAGACGTTCTACATCAAGTGGAATAATTAATGTTTGGGCAAAGTTCGAAATAAGACGAATTTTATAAAAATAAAAATTTCAAGCCTTCAAATATCTTATTTCGACTTAACAAATTTCACTCAGACACTTATTATCATGTTTACATGGGATGTCCCATAAATATTTTCAAATGTTAATTTTTGAAATATTTGAAATGTTTTATGTAATATACCATATAAAAAGATAACAACGCAATGTTAAAAATCAAATTGAATAGCTTTAATTACTTCTGTAATAACCTCAATGTTCATGAAAATAATTTAAAAAAAGACATTTGTTAATGCATTTCCATATTTTTTAAGCGTAGAGCAGGCATGTCCAACTTTAGCTTCGAATTCCGAAGCCGAAATACTTCCACTACTCCATTTTATCGTGGAGTGAGATGGAGAATGTAAGGAGTGAGATAGACTGAGGAATCACACGAGGAAAAAGATAGCGTAATGAAAAAAGAATGTTTGAGAGTAGGGATAAGAAACCTGTGCCGATGGAAGTTGGACATGCCTGGCACAGAATAATGTGTATATTTATTACAACTAACTGTAATAATGAATTTCTGGTTAATTTTTAATCACGGAATAATAACTAAATTATTTGATTAAGTAATTTATAAAATAAGTGTTATTTTGTATACATATACTAATCCTGCTTGGCATTGACTAGTTTCTGACTAGTTGTTCAGAAAATAATTTTTTAAATTATCTATTAAAAATTGTCTTATTTTCTGACCAATCAGTCTTACTAACAATAAGTTTTACAGAATTTTTTTGTTAATTGTTAAACTGTCCACAATAAATTTAAAATAATAAAAATTGACTTTTGTAATCCATTTTCCCAGATATTTTTCTATTCGCAATCAAATACAATAAAATAATTTTATTTTGCAATTTAAGCAAAATTCCAATGTCAACAATAAAAAGTATCTCATTAGAGGAAGAAATGAAGAAGAGTCCTCAATTGAAGTTATCCGATATACAATTACTGAGAGAATGGTGCGAGAAACAACCACACTTGCCAAAAATTGAGGATAGCTTTCTTGCCTTGTTTCTTCACAGCAATTATTATCAAATGGAATCAACAAAAAACACAATTGAGAATTATTACACGGTCAGGACACACTCACCAGAATTTTTTTGCAATCGAGATGTGCTTACGGAAAAGGGGCTACGACAGACCTCAAAAGTCATGTAAGAAACGATTTTAGAAATATTAGTGAACAAATAGTAGTAGTATGACTTGTTAATGTATGTTTCAAAATGTTAATTTGTAATATTTGAAATATTTTAAGTATAATACACATTTTGAGATTTATACAGAAAAAAAACAAATCCTATAAAACTTATATAGCTGTACTAATATTTAATTGTAGATTTTTAAAAATATAGAATATTTTTACTAATATTTTTACATATACTGATATATTAATAAATTGAAGTAAATTAATTTAATCTAAAAAGGACTGCTTTTCCCCTGGAAGGAACAACGAAGGACGGCTATAGAATGATATATGGAACAATACTAGACCCCGATCCTTCTCTTTATGATTTTAATGACAGTATCAAATATTTCACGATGTTATGCGACATGTATATTTTGGAGGATGGTATTCAGGATGGTTATGTCTACATCAGCGACGTTAGCAAAACATCCTTCGGTCATATGACACGAATGAATCCATTGGGACTCAAAAAACATTTATATTATATCCAAGAGGCAGTGCCACTTCGTTTAAAGGAAATGCATATGATAAACGCTCCACCTGCCATAGAATTGTTAATGAACATGACGAAACCTTTCATGAAGAAAGAATTGATAGATATAGTAAGTATTACAAATTAATAATCAATTTCAACTGTAATTATTTAACAACAATATACGCGTTTTTAAGATTTATTTGCAACCAGTAGCGATATAACAATTAAATATAACAATTAAATCATTTTAATGTCACAAATAACTATTTTTAATTGTACTTTTACTGATTTAAACAAATTCAGAATGTATATATATGTATAATTGCCCATAGCATAAAAATTTTAATTAAAAATTTTTATACTCAATGCTATACTGTTCTACTTATTAAATTAGTACTCAGACAAGTTTTTCTGAACTTATTTATAAGTAAGTATCTTCTAGATGCATTTTCACTCATCGTTAAAAAGCATTTCCGAATACATCCCAGTGGATGCATTACCGAATGAAGTGGGTGGAAAAGGGGGTTCTATACACGAATTGGCTGAAATTCAAGTGAAGAAACTCGAGGACTATCGTGAATGGTTCCTGCTGGACGAAACAACCAGACGTGTTAACGAAGCATTGAGAATTGGCAAGAGCAAATCAGCGAATGATTTGTTTGGTGCAGAGGGTAGTTTTAAAAAACTTGATATAGATTAAAAAAGATTTATAACTTTATATACAATTTAAAAAAGATTTATAACTTTATATACAATTTATAGCCATTTCTATTCTTATGCAATCTCTTTTAATATTACTTAATTGATCAAACACATGCAAGTTCATTGCATTTGGATTGATAAAAAACTTCTAGCTATTTAACACAACTAGTACATAACGGGTGCGCGCTGCGTGTTAAATCCCATACATCTTCCAATAACATTTATACCAATTTACATTTTAATTAAACAAATGTTAACAATTTTTGATAAAAAATAAATTTTCAAAAAAAATGATGCTTTGCGCGCGGTGCGTATTAAACTCCATACATCGTCCAATAACATTTATACCAAATTACATTTTAATTAAACAAATTTTAACAATTTTCAATAAAATACATTTTAATCGGCCATTTTGAATCGGCAATTTTTAAATAAAATCACGATTTCTTAAAAAATAGTCACAAAATTCATCTTTAAGATGAGCCCAGAAAGAAGTCTATATCTTTATTTTTTTGGAAGATATGAATTTTTAAACATTGGGGAAAGAGGCTTCAATGCCGGTAACATGGCAATTTTAAGATAGGATAAGTAGTTTTCGCCGGTAACACGGCAATTTTAATATAGAATATTATTATTATATTGAATAATGTAAGAAATATTAATTAGTTAATCGTTATCTGTTACCAAATATGATATATATTTACGGTGTAAGGAAATGTTTCCCATCTATAGTTATTTACAGTTTTGAAAATAATAGATGCGTCTAACTGCGACTATCAATTGTACCGATTCTTAATTGTAAGTTGTCTTCTTAATTGTAAATTGTCTCTAAATATATATCATGGATTGACAGTGTAATGCATTTTTCTTAGATTTGTCTTAATGCTATTATACTGCTTACTAGTGTAATGTAATCTTCGGCACGCCAATGACAAATATGTACTATTTTTACATGGCATTCATATTTCTTATAGTCACTGTAATAGATTTGTTGAGATGTCATTTCTCTTTTGTGACACAAATACTTTTAAAAATACGTATAGTCATGTCGTATCTAATAATAGAGAGAGCATTAAATAATTTGTATAATACATTCATCCATGTAAAGTTAATCCAGGCACTCTATTTTGATATATGTCATTATTTTAATCTATTTGTAAATATTGACAAGTAGATATAAATAATTTCTACAAACAATTAATCGCGCGACTGCACGATTGATACTATATACATACTATATAGTATGTACAGCAAATAAATATTAATATTATTCTGTATCGACATACATGGTCTATCCCAAAAGTAATGAGATTAATTCTGAAAAAACCATTTTATTGAAAATACACTTAATATTTTTCAAAGTAAGATCCTTGAGCGTCAATACAGCAGTTTCAGCGTTGCTGCCACTCTTCGTATCAGCGCAGGAAGTCATGACCGGATGTGCCTTCCAAAGCATTCGTCGCGGCTGCTTGGATTTTTTTAATCATCCCAACGTTGTTCGACACCGTTTTGGGACGGTAAATTAAAAAGGTCCAAACAGCCGCGACAAGTGCTCTGAAAGGCATGTTCGGTCAAGACTTCCTGCGCTGCTACAAAGAATGGCAGCAACGCTAGAACCACTATATTTATGCCCAAGGATTCTACTTTGAAAAAATGTAAAGTGTATTTTCAATAAAACGATTTTTCCAAAAGTCTCATTACTTTTGAGACAGACCACGTAATACTTGTATAGTATAAATTATTGAAATTATAAGATAGACAACTCTCTCACATTTGATTTCTCTTATATCAGCAGCGTTTTTTAATTTAGTTATACGAAATGCTCGTAATAAATCCGCGTATACCAGACATTCGTTGCTAGATTGCATGTCTCATTTTTGCTGATTGAGAAAACTATGTAGTGTCTGTAGAATAAATTTCAGTGTACATGTCCTAATCATGAAAATTATACGTTACGTGCATTAAAACGTATTCAGCTGTCACGCGATACATCCATTGCCGCTTCGCCATTGGTGCAGCTTAAAAAGTGTATTATATGTGTAAATGCAGATTTCAATCAGTACTTTTCAAGACATCTCGGACTAAGTTTATACCAAGCGGAATCCTTCCATACAGGTAACACACATATCCAAGGTAAATGAAATTAACTCATTGGAATGTCTTTCATTCGCTTTCATTAATAAGCTCTAAGTAAATTCATAAATCAAATAATAATGTACACATATAGCCTATGCCATAATGTGATAACACACGTTTATAATATACAATTGATGTAATTTATCAGAAATTATCTGCAGCCTACTTTAGTTTGACAATTGTACTTCATATAGTAAAACAAGTTACTTAGCTTACAAGTATTAATAGGCACGCAAATAATTTTTCGATTACGTTCACGAGATACATTTCACAATCAATTTTGCTACGATGCAATACACATCAATTGTGCATTGCTAGATTTGATTAAAATTACTAATTTTACTTCCATAGGAGTTTGAATTCAGAATAAATAATGGATTCAATAAAATTAGTATCGTTCGAGGAAGAACTAAAGAAAAATCCCGAATTGAAAGAATCAGATATACAAATATTGAGAGAATGGTGCAACAAGCAGCCTTATCTGCCCAAAATATCAGACAGCGAATTAGCATTGTTCTTACATAGTAATTATTATCGACTCGAACCGACGAAAACGACTATCGATACTTTTTTTACAGTCAGAACTCACGTACCTGAGTTCTTCAATGATCGAGATCCTATTAACAATAAAGACCTCAAAAAAGCATTTGAAATATTGTAAGTGTATTTATAATCTCTTTTTTTTTCGTTACATTAGCGACGTCCTCTACATGTGACAAAGAGATGCAACAATATTTCTCGCAAAAAAAGAGAATTCAAAGTATACAAAGTAGAAACAATTTTATTACAGGACGGACATAATTATGGTAGGAACTACTAAAGAAGGCTATAAAGTCATTTATGGAAAACTCCTAGATGCCGATCCATCACATTTTGTTTTCAACGATTGTATGAAAGTGTTAAGTATGGTAATCGATTTATGGCTCTACACGGAAGGCACTTGCCTCGGTCACATAATATTAGTAGACATGAAAAACGTTTCTTTTGGCCACGTCGCCCGTTTAAGCCCTATGAGCATGAAGAAATGGCTTTACTATCTGCAAGAAGGATTGCCTGTCCGATTAAAGGGCCTCCATTTCATGAATGCTTCGCCAATAGTAGATTCCATCTTGAATATAATGAGACCTTTCATGAAAAAACAACTGATGGATATAGTAAGATTGAAATCATTATACAATACTAATCACGTGTTCCAATATTACGTATTAAAAATGAAAAAATGAGGAAAACAAATTTCTATTTGATATAAATTGTTTTAGAAACACTGCTTTATAAGTATCCTTTTAAAATACAATTTTTAATGTATACATTATTATATGTTTTACTTTTTAATATTAAACGTTTTATTTTTAAATTATCCTTTTCTTTTAAACTATTGCAGTTAAAAAGAGATAAATATTATATTTTATTTTTTACTAATATATATTTTATTTATTTATCTTTTTGGAAAAAATTGCGTGAAACAGAATTCGGTGCAAAACGCAATAAAATAATTAAATTACATTTTTATAAATTGTAGTTTCATATGCATACCACGAATGACACTCTGAACAAATTCGTACCGATCGAAATTCTTCCAAACGAAGCAGGCGGTCAAGCCGGTCCTGTACAAGAGTTACATGAGAAACAATTGAAAGAATTAATAGACCATGTTCCTTGGTTCCAAGATGACGAAGCTAATCATCGTGTTAATGAATCGCTACGACCGGGCAAGGCAAAGTCAGCAATGGATTTGTTTGGTGTTGAAGGAAGCTTCAAGAAGCTTGAAATTGATTGATCAAATAATCAGATCTTTTGCAACATTAATTATATTGATTTAATTTTTAAAAATAAAAATATTAATCTATTTTATGTTTATTAACGCTAAATATTTAGCCAATTAATGGCAATAAATATATAGTATAGTAGTAACAACTTATTGATTAGACTAGATTTTAAACATATTAATAAATAAATATGTTACATTAAATACATTTACGTTAATTAGAAAATGTTTGTTTTTATTTGAAATGGTCTTAAATGTCCTTACATAATGTAATATTTTAATAAAATATGAAGCAAACGTTGCGATCTTTATTATATTTAACAAACAAATAAAAAATAATAAATTTAATTTATTGTCTTGTTAATTTAATGTCAAGTGTATAAGTACCATATAAAAACTGATTCGGTGTGGAGAAACCTTTACAATACCTCCTTTTCGACAGTTTCTTATAATACTTTCACCATCAAGCTATTCTCGCAGTAAACGGCAATACGCGCGTGTGAATATATCGATGAAACGATCCAATCAACTTTTCAGTTTCGTAATGAAACATATCGTAAGTATGCATATTATTTACGATTAATTGACAACACAAATATTTCGGTCAAATTATATCGAATTCGATGCATAAATAATTTTGCAATTTTTTAAACAAAGTTTACAACTGTGTATTATATATACTTTAGTTAAATATATAATATTAAAATGATCTTACGAGTAGAAAATGATTCAAAATAAAGAAAGAAAATATGAAAATATAAGGCAAATAATTCTAGTTAAAAAGTTCTTTAGAAAACATGTACAGTAGTTTGCATGATGAAACAACCGGTTGATTATGTAACTCATTTGGAATTCTATTGATGTGCAGAAGTTGCTGCATTCTTTGTAATACAAAGTTTCTCATTCGTTTTCTATAAATTTCTTGTAATAAAATTGAGTAAATCGTCAATGTTTCTAAGAGTTTACACCCGATCTATTTCAATCAATGAAGAAATTAATGTAGAATTCAGAATAAATAAAAAAATATTTTAAATATTAAATTTTTACTTTCAAAATAAAATCTCACATACACATACATTTCTGGATTAATCTCAAACTGATTGTATTTAAAAAAATTTAAGACGCAATCAAACCATTTAACAAATCGTTATCATTTTATATTTAAACTATATAGATAGTCGCCGCTTTGATTAACGTTTGCTTGGCAGACGTATCGCATATTTCGGAATATTCGTCAACGACACCACTACCACCTCCGAAACCATATAGTTTTCAATATGAGGCGGGACGATATCCAGGACATATTGATCGTGTTCATCAAGAAACTGGAGATGGACATGGAATTGTACACGGTAATACGAATATCACAACTATCATTCCTAATTGAATCGTGGAGGATATATCTATATCGCTATAAGTTTTGCTAGTTAACATTTATTACCTCGGAGTTTCAATTATATGCTAATAGATCCTGCTGGTATCAACGTACTCGTTATATTTCATTGATTGCAAACTTGCATTGATTTGCATTGAATCAAATTACAAAACAAAGAATAAAATTTGTCAAATTGAAATGTATTATATATAAATTAAAATGAATATTAAAGCAAGACTCATTGAATCACTCTCGGGTGAGTGAATTTTTTTCCTTTTTTTTAATTAAAAATTAATTACATATTTTTCAATGAAAAATAAGTTGCATCATATCTAAAGAATTAATTCTAATTTGATTAATTAATGTTAAATAATAAAAATCTTTGGTAATACAGTAATTGAAAAAATAACGCAATCTGCAATCAACGCATATCTTAACGGTTTATGTATATGCTTCAGGAACATATTCGTACATCGATCCAAAGTACAAAGTACGAACAGTGGAATATACAGCCGATAAAAGTGGATTTCATCCTGCTTTAATCAATTTTGAGGATACTTTTGCTCAACCTGCCGATTCGGAAGCTGTAAGATTGGCTAAAGAAAAACATTTCCGTCTTTATCACAGGATTGCAGAGGCAAACGCTCATAATGTCCCAGTCAATTTACCACGAGTAATTGTCTTATATATTTGTCTTATATATTTGATATAGGATACTAAAACTGAAGATTTCCAAATCCTTCGTTAATTTTAAAATCACAAATTCTTAATTAATAGAGAATTAAATAAGTTCTTAAATCTTCTGTTAAAGATTAATCGAGAATGAAGAAGCGTTCTCTATTTGTCCAAAAAAAAAAAAAACATTCCTCTCAGGAAATTCGATATCTCAATAAAAAATATTATTTGGATTTGGCGTTAGATTACTTAATTATACGACTACTTTGTATGTTTTTATATTACTTTACTCAATTGCTCTGCAGGATTCAGCGAGCGTGGCAAAAGCGAAGGACAGGCATAATGAATTGTATCATAGAATCGCGGAGCAACACGCGGCGATCGCAGCGCAAAGGGAAACTGAACGACTGGCTTACGAGGCAACTTCCGTTGCCAATGACGTAGATGATCATCAGACGTGTTAATGATGTTTTATACACGTATTGACATTACAAATTAATGCATATTGCATATACGTGCTAAAAAAATTACGCTTCGCCCGAGGCCCGCAATTAATGTTCGCTAAAATTCTTTTTTATCTCTTTTTTGTCAGGATTTTTTAATCAATTTAATTTGAATGATATAGAAAAAGTGTCCGCGCGACAAAAAAAAACGATTGTTAATTATAATATAATTAATTTAATTAATGAGATATTTTTAATCAGGAATAATGCAAACCAAGTGCCCAAATGCCAAGAAAATATTATAATAATTATTATAATAATTGTATGTAGAGGAGAAACTTATATGGAAGCTAAATAAAGTCAATTAGAATCTGCATAAAATAAAGCTTATTAGAACTTAAAATAAAGAAAAATTTAACGATTGTAAAATTTTAACAATAGATTTTTAATGTTTTCTTTATCTTTTAAATTATAAAACAAAGCTTGCATAACTTATTTTTTAATTTTTATAACTGTTTTCAAAAATACAACGTCATTATAGATAATTATACTTTATTAATAACAAATGGAAATAAATATATAAATCATAAGATAGAAATTTTACACCAGTCATCACTGTATAATAAAATTGTGTAACACTCTATTGCGCAATATGTTCTTTGTTATTTTTTAAAACTCAACAAACAACAAAGAAGAATAATGCTAATAATTGTTACACATTGTTTCTTTTTTTCATGCATGTTTCTTCGCGTGTAACGATTCGTTTACATTTGTACATGTGCGAGAAGATATAACGATCAACTTTGAAACTTGTTATTGTTTTTGGAAGTGCCGGAAGTGCTACCGCGCAAATAAAAAACATTTCCAATGAAAGATACATAGAGCATAATCATACCGTGATGATATAAAAGGAATGTCAGCGTATAGCGGTATTAGTTCGAGCAAATATTGCCAGTAAAAGATGAAGTTTTTCGGTAAATTACTCTGTTTCTTTCTCATAGGCATCGCGGTAAGAATTATTACAATTCAAAGGCACATAGATAAGCAAAACTATATTCCTTATATATACAAATAATTTTTCAATGTCAAGTTATTAAGTTATCATTTATGTGCACCTCTGTATTTTAAAATGTAAAAAATATTATTAACATTTATACATATATGAAGCAACTTACTTACGCTTTTCTAGGCGGCGATGGGCATGAGCATCAAAAAATTTGCACTTGGGATTGACAACGTAGCTTGTAGAAATCAAAGTCGTGGATCCAATTTTGGATAGTTGGAAATCTGTACGAAATATACAAATATAGGTATAATAAAGTTAAGCTAATTGTAAGATTCGCGTATTCTTTAAATGATTTGAATCACTCCAGAAACGAATGAATTTTAATTTGTTTTATATAAAAGTCTTTAATCAAATAATTGTATTTGCATTCTGAATTTCATTTTTTTTGTCACAAATGAAAATCAAACGGCTGCGCTAAATACGCGGAGATATAAAAAAAGGCCTCAAAGAAAAATTATATATAAGCGACAATGTCATATCGGTTGCGTTCGGTTTAGCACTTGCAGCGCTTGTGATCGAGCATCATTTCTCCTTGTTTAATTTAATTAACAACAAGGATAAAATGATGCTATATGAATATGCTGTATAATCGCCAAAGCTTAACCCATATTTATCAAGAGAAAAGAAAATTTATGACGTCAAACGAATTTTATGACATATTTACTGAAATTCTTCGTCGCTTACAATTCTTTGAGCGTTTGTTGACATTACGGACTCACCCGTTTACATTTGTGCTTAAATTTTCTATTGGGTACATTCCATCAGTGCGTAGAGAATATATCTTTAATTAAACTAACGCTTAACAAAATGAAACTTACTTGCGGAAAATACACCCAACACATCATACTAACACTTTTGAGCGTTAACGATTGAATCAATTCTCAATTCTCGACTGTGTCCGTGTGTTCTGTAATATAAAGTCATTACAATGAAATATCTAGACACGATGCGCGTAGCGCGTATCTCAAATCAAAATGGATGCGACGCTTGCGAAGCTTGCCAAGGCAGTTCTAGAGACATCTAGTGTGCATTTCGCGACTCTCTCGTATATTCGTCAAACTCTCTCGATATAACTTTTCAAATTACCAATTTTAACTATTATACAGGGTGATCCAGGTCATCCGGAGGAGCCGGCATCTACGTATTCCTCATGAAAAACTGAATTGAAAATGTTAATAGCAAAATGTTGAGGTGTCAATGGTTTTTGAATAGTGAGCTGTTGAAACTGTCAAACCATAAGGCATTAAGAGCGCACCGTCAGGTGTGGCGCATTAAATCGACGATCGGCCGGCGCGCGACGGGTATAAACGGCACGGTGCCGAACGAATACTGCAAAGGTTTGATGAAATCTCTATTAACATTTATTGCGCTTATTCTTAATTTGAGTCCAATATAATTGTAGAAAAGTCAATCGCAAATTCAACATTATTTATATTAATAGAATAAGTATGAACTCTTAAAATACATTTTATGTATTTTAAAACGATTAAATTAATTAATTAAAAATAAAATAAAATTATTTAATTAAATTATTTAATTAATTAATTTAATTGTTTTAAAATACATAAAATGTATAAATGTAATTAATTAATTTAATCGTTTTAAAATACATAAAATGTATTTTAAAACGATTAAATAAAGTTATTTAATTTTATTTTATAATAATATTTTAAAACGATTAAATTAATTAATTAAATAATTTAATTTTATTTTTAATTAATTAATTTAATTGTTTTAAAATACATTTTATGTATTTTAAAACTATTGAATTAATTAATCACATTTATACATTTTATGTATTTTAAAACGATTAAATTAATTAATTAAAATTAAAATTAAATTATTTAATTAAGTAATATTAAAAACATCAATCGACAAACATTTTTTATTATTTCCCTTTCCTGTCAGAAAAGTGAAATAATA